AAAAAGGATTAGTCAATTAAAAAGAAGTCTTACTGAATTTAGTTTAAAATTGTTGTTTCCATTTGATTCACATGTAAACATTTGTTTTAGTAATGTTCATAAAAACTAATTTACAGAGTAAATTTTGTCTCTGTCTTGCCATTACTTTTGTAAGAAGCAAGATAAATTGAGGCAAAACCAATAGTCTATGTGGTCCATGGAAGAAGTAGAGCCAAACAAAGGCATCTTTGCCAAGATGTGCCTCTAGGACCTGTACTGTGGGAGAGAATTTCTTGCCAGTCTGTAAAAAACAGTGTATTAGCAGATGGTGACCTTTGGGAAGTAGTTGTGTGTGCTGGGCACAGAAGGAGCAGATGGCTCTGGACAAGCCTCAAACACAGCATACCGAAACAAATTCATAAATATTCAGGGTACAGTAAAGACTGTAGGTCTATGAACGTTCCTCTCAGGGCAAATGTGGGTATGAGGGGTCCCATATTCTCATTCTACCTGCTTATTATCCTTGCTGGACATGAGACATGATGATGCTACAATCTGTGGGGCTGTGCAGTGTATCGGATAAGGAAGGAGAGTGAATTTCACAACTGCCTGGTCTGTACAGGAAAGTGAAGAAGGAACTGTAGCAGGACACTAGCTTTAATATTGCCATGGCTTTTGGGGAATTAATATGTGCTCTGTAGTGGCTGAGTATCTTTTTGAGGTGGAGATGGAATTAATAGTGTTTCTGAGGTCAGCATTATTCAGCTCTCCAGTGATGAGCATGATAATCAACCACGTTGAATTCTTTCTCTGGTATTTTTTTTCTTTGGTGTTTTTGGACTCCTGTGGTGTTTGTTCAACTGATATGTGCTTTTGGTATTGTAAATGAGGCTGGACTATGGGTAGCTGCCAAAAGCCCCAAAAGTACAATCAATCTTTTATGCTCCATTTATATTTTCAGAGTATTTTTCCCAGGCAAAATGAATCTTGTTGCCCTAATAGGTGGCTTTGCTGCCAAGTGTACCAGCAAAAAAATACGAGCAACATTTTCTCCAACTTAATATTTTATGTAGAGAGTAAGATGGACCCTCTGTCCTTCACAGTAAGATGGACCCATCCATGCTTCATGTCTCGCTTCATGCTGACCTTGTGAGTAGATTTACACGTTCCCGTCTTTAGGTGTCTGAAAGATCTCTTGCTAATGTCACCAATCTGAGAAGCTTGATTTGTGAAAGATCTGTTGGATCACTTAGTCCTTTCACTGTGGGTCTGTGCAGAATTGCTTCTCATGAAATATTTTCACTTAAAACTTTTTCATTTATGATGATTTATTACAGTTTATTTTCTAATGTTTATGCCACACATTGCCTCTCAGAAGATCAATTTTTCAGGGTAGACACCACTGAGGGTGCTCTGCATCTGTGAGACTGCATTTTAGAGCCAGTGAGAAGCATTATGAGCCACTGACTGGGATTTTGGTGAGGCATTACTAAAAATCATCTTTGTGGGAAATGACTGCATTTATGATTCAGTCATTAGGGATTACACATTTCCATTTAAAAACTATATTTTGGGAGTTTGTTTGTGATGGGTTGACCTTGGTTAGCTGCCAGGTGCCTACCAAGACGCTCTCTCACTCCCTCACCTCAGTGGGACAGAGGGAAAAAATACAAAAAAACCCCTAAATCCCTTACATGTCAAGGTTTTTGGGAAAAATGCAAGGACTGCACTCAGAAACAAAGGCAAATAGATTTATTGTCCACTTGCCATCAGCAGGTAATATCCAGCCCCTTCCTGGAAGTAGGGCTTTGGTACACATAGTGGCTGTTCCCGAAGACTGCCTAACCTCTCCCCTTTTCCTTTTGTTGCGCATGATGTTTTAAAATATGGTTGGCCAGTTTGGGTCAGCTGTCCTGGTTGTGTCACCTCCCAACCCCCCATCCACCCCCAGCCTACAGAGGTGATGTTGGAGATGATGCTGTGCAAGCACTGCTCAGCAATAATCAAAACACTGGTATGTTACTAGCACTGTTCTTGGTACAAATACAAAGCACAGCACTGTAATGGCTGTTATGAAGGAAGTTAACTCCATTCCAGACAGCCATTGTGTACAGTTAAATAATTTGTTGTAGTGATGTTTGCAGCTCCTATACAGAATATTCTTCTCAGTTCTAAATGACTGATGACATCTTGATAATTTAACATTTTATAGAAACTGAGGTATTTTTTCTTTTGAACTTAAACTAACTAGGAGTTTTAGTGGACCACATTTCACAGAGCTTTGTTCTTCATGAAACATTACATTACTTTGTGATTTTTATAACTTAAACCTATATTTTGAATTTAGGTAGCAAAATCCAATAATGGATATATTAACTCTGCTAATATTTTAAATAATTTACTTTTTAATGGTTTCAAAGTAGTTGCTCTGCGAACTGTAGTTAACCTTATTCCTGTGAAGTGATTTATTAATAGACAGTAGGAGCCCTTTTTATCTGACTGAGGGATTAAAATAATATTAAGTTAAAACTATCTAGTTCCCCCTCCCCTCCCCGCTTCTTCTGTTCCTTTGTAAGATGAATAAAGGTCATTTGAAGTTAATGGCTAGTACATTTGGAACTAATAACAGGAAATGCCCTTTCTAATAATAGGTAATCTCTCTTTTAGGCAGGGCTGAACCCATTTCTGAGATGTGTTCACTGGTTCTTAATTCTGGTAAACTTCAAGTAGTAAGGCTGAACATTTCCATGTCCACTGCCTGCTTCAGGCCAAATTTGAAATTTTTGTGCAAAATATTCAGCAGTTTCCAAGGCTGAGACTATTCCCTTACTTGGAATTATTGACAGGTTGGTTGTTTGTTTCAAGCAGTTGGTTCAACTGAGTGGTTGAACAGCTCACTTGTCTTAGCATTTAGGGCTAAGGAGTTGAAGCTTGCTGAATTGAAAGAGTCTTCTATCCTAGTCATGTGTCCTTGGCCATGGAGGTACGTCCAATGCAGATAAAGTTTTGTATGACTCCAAATATAGAAAGTTCAGAGATACTCCTAAAGACATCTTTCCTGGCACCAGACAGGTCTGGAATAGCATGTCCACCCAATATGTTTAAAGGAGCCTGAAAGTCAGTGTGAAGATGGAGAGCCATTTGGTAGAAGGGAGATAATGAGCGATGAGTATTGGAGTGCCTTGGGTAAAGGGATTTAACAAGAAGCTGTGAAGAGATGGACCAGGCTAGTTTAGAAAATCAAAATGAGACAAAGTGATACCTGAAATATGGTGGTCAAATGGAACAAAAGTTGCAGAGGGCTTGAACCAGGGGAAGATGAACAGAACGGCATGGGCCAATCAACCCATGGTTTGCTCAAAAGCCTGACTGGAAGGAAGTGTTTCCTTTTTCTCAGGGTGGCATAAAAATATTATACTTGTATGAAATCTACAGCCAGCTGAAACACAGGAAAAATGGTAGTTTGTTGCTGTGGTAATTTCCTGCTGGGTCTCAAGGATTTGTTTGATGGGCTTATATGTGAACTATAGTAAATAAAAAGCAAAAGTCATTAGCATACTGGTTGAGGTTTAGGATTGGAAGGACAAACTATATTGTATAGCTTTGTCAAACTTAACTTTTGTGATTTAGAGGTGTTTATCACCATCGTAACATTAAGTGCTTGCTTGTGAAATAAGCCAAAGCCAGCCTTGAATTTGGTGACTATGCTGGGTGTTTTCTGGTTATCAGCTGTGTGAAGGAGACTCTTGTTTTGTCTGTGCTACAGCTCTCCCAGGTGTTGTGGAATCTGGGTGTGTGTAGTGAGTAAAGCAGGAGGAATAGGAAGTAAAAGGAAGTTGTTACGGGTAAGGTAGCTGAATCCATCCGTGGAGGCATGGACTGACTCTGCCATTGATGCAGTTTTATCTGTTGCTTAACAGTGGTTTAAGATGTTAAAAATTTTATCTTTTTTTTAATGTTGAAGCTGGTACCCCAAGACTGATTTGCAGAAGTCCTGGGTATCTGTAGAGGTACCAAGCCTATAATTTGAACATACTCAACTGTTAGGAATTGGAGAATGAACACCCTGAGACCCCTGTATGTTTTTGGAAATTAAGGTTATTTTACCTCAGTTTGCAGGTTGTCCTAGTAGTGTGGATATTGCCATTCCCACTTTCCAGGGTGCATTATGAAGATTGATTAATGGCTGTGATGAGAGCTATATAAAAGCTTCTGAGGAAACTAATATTCCTACCTTGATGGTAGGAGTTGAGTAGTCTGGTCCAAAAAAAGGACACAAACATTTATGGAACCATTTCTGCTGTGTACACAGTAAAGCAGGGGGCCTTGTCAAAGGATAATATATGAATAGCTGATTAAAGACAATATCCAAATGCATATATGCAAGAGGGACAAATTAAGCTTGTACAGGTAGCCATTCCATAACTTAAAAAGGTTTGACTTCATGATATTCTAAATACTCTTTTCATGCAGTATTTTTTAAATGTGTAATTTATGTTTCAGCTGGGAAAGGGACTGGTAGAATAATCATGAATAGAGGATGAAATATGAAGTTTAGAAGAATTAGAAGACCTCCAGATTTAGTCATAGGTATTTTGCTTTGTGTAAGTGCTATATTTTTGTGGTAACTGGCTTGAGAATGAAATGACCACAGAGGATATTTTCAAAGTTGCAGTATTCATAGAGGTGAGCCCACGGCACCCCTGGAGGGAGGCATTAGCTTGGGCACTGGGAAATTTTGCCCAGTTGCTGTTTATCACTGTTAGTGGATAAAGGCAGGCGTCTCCTTTAAAGGCTGAAAGCCTTTCGCAAGTGCTTTATTTACACTAAAAATAAATGCTAAATTGCTAGGGGCACATTGTGGAAAATGAAAACAACCCTGTTCTTCTGTATTTTCTGTTCTGTAGGTAAAATACAAAAGAGACTTTGAAGAAAGCAAAGGAAGAGGGTTCAGTATTGTGACCGATACGCCCGAGTTACAAAGACTGAAAAGGACTCAGGAACAAATCAGTAATGTATGTGACTGCAACCTAAAGTGATTGTAGGTGGAGAAGTAGTGTGTCTAAGAAAAGGTGTGTTTGGTGTTTTCAATGAAGTTTGTGCGAGTGAACAGTCTGATTTTGGTGATTGATTTGTGTATGTCAGATTTTGAAATACCATGGACTTGTACAGCACATTGGCAATGTGTGTTCACCTCTCCAACTTTCAGCTAGTATGCTCAAAGTATTTTCTTTATTAAAATTATTTGACACTTTTTGATCTTTTAATAGATTTGTCATCAAGTAAGAATACTTTTGGAACTTTTAATTTACTTTTTATTTATATGAAGTATATATATTATGTAAGTTAAAAAGTTTTGCCTCTTTTTTAGCAGGAGCTGTCAAAGTTAGCAAAACAAGCAAGAGGGAATTTTCTAGAAGCAGGTAAAATTTTGTTGCTGAGTTTTAAAAGAAAAGACATGCAAGACAATGCTCTGCAAGATGACAAAGAAATGGCAAATAGCAAAACCTAACATATTTCATTAGCTTACAGGAATGGGATTTTTAAAAACTGGGACTTTTCCTGTCTTACGTCTTCGCTAAGAAAGTTATTTATTTGTACTGCATTCTCTTGTAGCATGTTTAACTCACTGCATGATGGAATATTGGTGATACATAGTGCAAATTCTGATACGTATGAAATAGGTAAGAATTAGTCTGAACTAGAAAAGATGCAGAATCAATACTATTCACTTGTTTTGGCTTCCCTTCTGATCATTTTTCTGCTGCATGATTTTGTCCCTATAGATTATTTTGTGAAAATATTTTTGAATCAGTCTCTGTAGTAATAAAATAACAGCAAGGCATCAGAGACACACAGTGATCAGAAGAAAGTAATGGGATTTATTTACTTGAAGTAAAAACCCTTTTTTTCCGATTAGGATATTATTGAAGATAAAAGTCATTGGAAAAAACTTATTTTTCACAGTAGTGGAGGTTTACTGTTCTTGCCAAAGCATTCACTAGTTTTTGATGTCTAGAGCCAGTCTTTGAGATTAAAAATTTAGGCTCATTTCCTGGAGCCTTGGCCAATGGAGGCGACAGTTAATGTAAGAGCTGTGCAACTGCTCCTGTATGTAGACAAGATGAGAGCAAAGCTCATCTCATGTTCATACTGGGGCTAACTGAAATTACTGGCCTGTAAGAGAGAAAAATGTGTTCTTTGGAGTGGCAAAAGGCATGGCCATTAAGACTTCCATTTGGGATCTGGGAAACTTCAGTGACTCCCTGGTTTTAATCTGCATTTAAGCCGCATTTTTTGTTCAGACCAGGAAGTTAAATTAGGTCCTCTCACGACCTACAGAACTTCCTCATGCAAGAGTGATTCCTTTCTGTTGGGTAGCTCTGGAAGGCATCAAGGAGATGAAACGAGCGAAGCTCTGGTGAATATTTAATCCCTTGCATGGGTCTGCTCTCTAAGGACAGACTGAGAGTAGTGCCCTGCTGCAGGCCTGTGGTGCTCAGTTTGGGATACTAGCCTGCTAAGAAAAATTTTCAGACCTCCTAAGTACCCTCAACATCAGACTACAGAATAGTAGGACACAGCTCACTTGCTTGCTCTTAATACTCTCGTTCAAAGCACATTCCGTTTTCTGTTGTGGGAAAAGGAGATAATAAAAACAAGTGGTTTTGTGACATGGGAAAGGGCTTTCTTCCCATCTCTACTTTTGAGTGGATCAATGGAGTTTCTGTCCTAATGGAAGATCTTGTTCCACGATTTATGATGCTATCTGGTTCCTGAACCAAAGATAATTACCTGCCTTTTCAGGTCCAGAAATAGATTTTTAAAATGGGAAAAGTGGCTTTATTTCAGGTTTTTCCCTTTGGTCACTGCATGTGTGACTACTTTCTCTTCATTTCTAAACACGCTATTCTTAACAATATAGATTTGATCTATCCAGTCTTGACAATAGAGAGTTGTTTTCTTTATGTATGTAGCTGACAGAGATTCCAAGTCAGGGACCCAATTAGAAATAATTAGTCTTGAAGGGTAAAATGGAATTTTTAAATGTGCATGATAAAAGAAGTTGCATTTCATTTCTGTTTACATTGAAATAATAATTTCTAGCATTGTGTCCTAGAGATAATTCTGCATAGGCCACAACATCAATTTAATTAGAAAGCTCCTGTGTTATAGAAAGGCCTTCCACACAGAGTAGTTTCTGTATTTGTCAGATAAGCAGTATACATCATGGACTAAGGATCTAATTAAGATTTCAAGACACTGAAAGGTAAGCACTTTAATAATACTAAAATAATTTTAATTTTCATATACAGAAAAATGGAAGAATACTAATATATCTATTTAATTTTCAGTTTAGTTTTGATTTCACCTTGAAGTACTAGAAACTTCTCAAAGAGCCTATTTGAGCCAAAATTGTAACTGCTTCATTGAAGGGGTAAGTAAGTGATGAAAATAAATAACAATAATTTTATAATAATAAATGTTAAGTAGAATAAATATTTTGAAAATAATTGCCTTTTTTGGCCTGATACAAAGTTTGGCAGCATATGGATATTAGCGCAATACTCTGACTTTTTAAAGAATCTCTTGTGCTATCAATATAAACCTTGTGAGGAAAAAAAATCATGGTGGGGAGTGGAAGGAGAGTGGGTAGATAAAGGGATTGAGTTTTGGTTGTTATTTTGCCTCCAGCTGTCCTTCCTCTGAAGATTTAGACCAAACCTGTGGGCTTTATTTTATGGTTCTTGTGGAGGTATCAGGACCAGAGTGAGCTTCTTAGACAAGGATGAAATTTAATCTCATTATTTTTTAGCATTAAGAGCCTAATTCTGCAGATATACAACATATTTTGGCTTTAAATATGTAGTCAATACACAAAAAATATATGTTGTTCTCACAGAGAAGTGTGTACACTTTGCCAAAGGACCTTGTAGTGTTTTTTTGTCCATTTTGAACTTTGAAAAGGTTTTAAGAATGAATGCAAATATTCTCAAAATGAAAAAAGCCCCAACACTATGTATTTTTATAGATTATTTTGCAATTAAGCGAGCTGCAAACTGGTTTTGCAAGCAAGAGGTTAAGGTGGCAAAAGGAACAGAATAAATAAAGATGATGGCAAAAAATGTTGGTTTATCATGACACAAGGCTAAATGAGGGAGTAGAAACTCAATCTAGTACTATTTTCTTTAGGGAAATGGAACACTTTCAGCAGTCTGCAGCAATGTGCTGCAGCTTACGGCCACTGCACTTTTATGTCTTGATATATGACTTGAAGCATGTGTTATCCTATGTGAAATAAGCTGCTCTTTCTTAAATACGTTTCTGGTAAATGTCTGCAAAGTATAGAAGAAAACAGGTGTCCATACAAATTGATGGAGTGAGAAGCTTTCATTAAGATAAAGGCCAGTGCTTGGATAGTAGAGGTTGCTGTCTTGGTTGTATGGCTGGAAGGATGCATGGAAGCTTTCACAGTGCTTGTGCTCATTGCATTAAGAGCCATGTAAAAGCATTCCTCACTTTGGCATTAATGCTGTTATGAACTTGAATCACATAAGAGCAAGGAGCACCACACATTTGTGCCCTTCTTCTCTTGGAGACAACAAAAGGAAGTCATGTTGTTCATTTATTTGCATGTGACTCATTTTTCAGTAGGTTTGGGTTTTATCTGAAGTGAAAACGGTACCTTAATGCAAAAAAGGAAAATAAGTAAACAGATTAAATCTGCTTTAGAAAACACATTTCCAAGGTATCCTGGTGTGGTGAAGAACTTAGGAAGGACAGTAGCGTTTATGAAGAGAAGGTCGCTAAATCACCCCTCTATGGGGTAAGGGAGTGGCTTCCCAAGTATCAGGAGTTGAACTCCTTAACTGAAGTTAGTGAAGCATTTCTTGGATGCAGAGTGCATGAAGATCTTGTAGCATTCTTGAGAGTGTTGTATGTGGGTTCTAATGAGAAAAGCTGTGCATTAATTTTCTTTAAATGTCTTTAATGAAATATGGTGCATGGTGTGGGGCTTTTAATTATCAAGGGTTGCATTCTGTCTCCAGTTAAATTTATACAGCTTCAGGGAATGCAGAGGAAGACAGGAATTCCCCCATAATTTGAATCACCTGAATACCTACTATCTGGAAAAAGACACAAATTACAAGGAAATTGGGCACTACCTCAGATGTGATAAATATACATCTTCAGTAGCAACTAAAGGAGGACACAGACCACATTGCTACTGTAGCTGTGCACATCTGCACATCTGAAATTAGAAACTGTCCCTAACAGACACTGAGCCATGGCTCCCTATTTGGAAGCTATTGGCAGAGCTGTTCAGTCTGTTTACTTGCTCAAACATAAAATGATCTCTTAAATTGCCAAAACAGATTGTAGAGAAAATTGGCAGGAGAAGATGTTAACAACATGGCCCAGAGCTCCACTTGTAGGATTCACAGCACAAAGCCTGCAGATACTTGTCTCTAAGTGCTTTTTTCCCTCCATTGATTTCAAGTGAAGGAGGAGAATAGGGAACAAGAAAAATTAACAGCAGTATCAATGTCTGCATTTCACAAAACCAACCCCAGCACATCAACGGAGAGACTGGGTAAGTGTTTTAAATTGTATGCAAAAATAACTTATGCTGTTCTATGCAGTGCTGGGGTTTTGCTGCTTCTGAAGTAATTAATACTTTATTCCTAAGCCCTTATATTCCTAAGCATGATTTTTATCTTTTATCTTTTTATCTTCATGGGGAAAATAAGCACTTTTTTATGTATGACAATTGTGTCGACTAACATGGATGGAATAGCACTTGTTGAGCAGTGCCCTGGTGCTGCATGTCTGTGACAGGTGTGGTCAGCCAGATGCACCCTGATACTGATTGCCTTCTGCTGCCCTTAGTACCTCTGACAGTTTAACATAAACTGCAACTCCAAGAGGCATTCATTATTTGGTATGTTATAGACTTAATTCCACACAGCTGCACTTCAAATATCTGCATATAACTCATGTTATTAAGCATCTGTCATTTGAGTTGAACAGCATTTTTTCTGTCTGGAAACAAGAAGGTTGGGTGTGTCATTCCTATTGCTAACATGAGTGTATCTCTGCAAGAAGGTGGCGTTCCTGCTGTGCTCCTGTGCAGTGGATGTACATGCATGGAGTACAACCTTGTTCTTTCTGTGGATTGATCTTCTAAGACTGTTTTGTGTAGATTCACAGAAATGGAAATTCTGAGAAGCCCCAGGTCCTTTGACTTTCTAATAGTTCTGTGTTGAAGTTTGATTTCTGATTTTCAGAAATCATTCTGCCTTAAAGAGTAAAATCCTAATAAATGCTTTAGAAATTACTTAGCAAAAGAATTACATTAATTTTCAGTGACCATGAGTTTTTTTTTGCAGATTTTTACGTAGGTTTTATACTTTGTAAGCTTTCAGAAATTTTAAAAATGACTGAACACATTCTTAAGAAATGATGAATCTAAGGAACTGTAAGTAATATTTTAAATAGAACTCATGCTAAATGAGAAAATAGAAAGCTTTGAGAATTATTTTGAAATCTCAAGGTGTATTCTACTTAAAAATGAAAAATCTTTCTTTACTGATCATTATCAAAATATGCAAAATTAGAGATAGTGTTAAAGTAGTTCCAATGCATATGAATTCTTTACCTACACTTTCAGGAAAAATTCTGAAGATATTTACTGGCATGCTGCTTTGTTGAGCTCCATTACTTCTTTTTGATGTGATCCCTGTGTAGGACAATAGTCACCAAGTATTCAGCTTTCTAATATTTTTCCATTTACTGTCTATTTACTGTTTGTTTAGATACTTCACTCACCATAAAATGTTGTAAAAACAACCTATGACTTCTTTGTGGAGTTTTCATCAAAGCTTCTTTCTCACTTCTTTAACTGTATTCATTTACATTGTTTTCAGAGTTGTCCAAGAAATAAGGAGGTATTGGAATTCTCCAGTATGGAGGATATGGATATGTGGTCCTTATTTAAATGAAGAACTAAAGCACAGACATTATTCATGCTAATACAGTAAGTAGCACCTAGAATAAACCCTTATCTTCTGTGTAGGCTCCTATTAGAAGTAGAGGGAAGCACAGCCTTTGCTAGGGAATTTTACAGTTGTTTGTTGGGGAGGAAAAGATTGCTGAGAATCCAGAGCAGTGTGTTCGTGACTCATCGACTCCTCTTTCTGTTCCTATAACTTTTTCACATTCTCTTTTCTGGTCTCTCTTTCTGACTACTTGTGATTTACATAACAATAGCTCCCAACATGTGGGAAGAAACAGTATTTTTAGACTCCAGAATGCCAACTTGAAGGATACTTTTTGGAATGTCAGGTAATCATTACAGTAATTCTGTATGAAACTGTCAGTACAGGTGGAACTGAATAATTTAGATGACTTAAACAATGGTTAAATTTCTGCTGAGTGAGCAGATGTTCAGTTTTCAGCAATGTATAATTCAATTACAGACCATATTCCATGGGGGTAGTAAAACAGATATCGCTAATGAGGTGACATTCCTCACCTGCTAAAGGTCAGCTTCCTGATCCAGAGCAGGAGAAGCATTAGAGTCGATCAGTGATGTTATATAGCTGCTTCTTCTGTAGCACAGGTGGAAATGTACATAACTCTTCTCTAGAAACAGCAGAAGTATTTGTCTTTGAGAAGCAGGAAAACAAACCCCTGCCTGAGGCATAACTTTGTTTGGAAAAATTGTAAGCATTAGCAATAAGGATTTATCATGCTGTTAGTGCAGTGTTTATTGTATGTCATACTGCCCACAAGAGTGTTAGGTTTGTAAATTCAGATAGGCCTTTGGGTAAGTCCACTGAAACACTATCTGCAGATCTATATTGAGGTTCTGGTAAGCTACAAATGTGTGAAAGAAGCACATTAGCAAATTGTGTAAAATGGAAGTTCCTTTCTGTTGCACACAAGTCTATTTGGATTTGAATGACATGTGACCTTGGGACAATTTCTGCCTGGGAAAAATTCCCTTTTAGCAGCCCCACTGTAAGGATGGTAAGCAACCTCAAATAAAGCTACTCAAATGTGAATCCTCAGAGATGCAGCAGGAAATATTTTAGGTTAAGTGGATCTCTGATAGTCAAAGCAAGCAGATGTGACGCCTACATATCTGGTTCTTAATGATCTTATTCCATCTGGCTTTATTCTATAGGATTGCTTAGAAAAAATATTTTTTCTCTCTTTTTCTTAGGCAAGTATAATGGGATACTTATTGTTGTGGTTTCTTATATTTTTCTAGAGTTTCAGAAGTCTATTTTTTAAGTTTACAGAAGAAATTATTTTAACTGTTGCCTTTTTTGTGTTAGTGCTTTCATATGAAATCAGTTGATAGCAGAACTACACAGCCTCCAAGTTTGAAAAAGTTTTCCATGAAGTTCCACAAGGAGTAGTTTAGTCTTTCTGATTCTAATTTAAATAAATAAATTTGACAGGATGACTGTAACCTTGCTCACGGTATTGACAAAATAAAATGAGTTGTGTGGTGGAAATGAAGCAAGCCGTCCAGAAAAATCCCCAAAGGCATGGATTTACTGCATATGAAAGTGGGTCAACTCATGCATGAGAAATGAATGCTAAATGTAAAATGGTTGCAAAACAGTAGACTTTAAGTAGGCTTGAATCAAGTCATAACCCAAACATTTTGATAGGGATGTCCTATCATGCTTCTCTTTCGAAAATAGCAAGAAAGCTCAGTCTTACACAGAAATAGTTAAATCATGTATTTGTGTAAACTATAACAGTGTTATTGTATGCCAGAATCAAAGGCATTGTGTTAATTTATGTTGCTGGCATTGGTAAATTTTAAGTTGAACCTGTATTTGGTTAAACCTGTATTTGCTTTGATAGGTTGCTTTACATGATATACACTTCAATAAGACTGCTCCTTGATGAGCAAAATGTTCAATCCAGCCTAGAAAAATACTTCTTGGGCTTTTCCTGGGTAAAAATAAGAATAAAATAGAATCATCTACTTAGGGAATACAAAAGAAAAAGATACAAATTTCTGTCTTGCTGGCTTAATTTTCTATTTGTGATAACATTCATATTGCAAGGCTTATATGAAAGACATCAGTAGTTTAAAAAACTACTACATAATCTTCATATATGTAGCATAACATTTCATGGACTTCATGTTTAATCCATACTAATTGCCAGCTTGTTGACAGATGAATGTGTTACAGATACAGATTGACCTAAAGGTTTATGTATGTACTTATTTATAACTCTGAAAATTCTGATTGAGAGTTAAAACAGCTATGTAAAAGTGAGGAATTAATTGGGTATGCCATTTCCACATTTTGCTGTGCTATTGACTGTATTGCATATGAATATACTTTTTGGGCAGTATTTTATGGAATGAAAAATTCCAAGCTGTAATGAAGACAACTATGAAGTGTTTTGTGGTAACTGTTGTAAGCACCTGTCCATTGTCTGACTAAAAGACATGTGTCTCTCTTTAAACACTAGTGACTTCAAGACTTAACCTACTTAGAGGGTTTCTTGTATTTAAATATATGGCTCTTTTTTTTCTGTTGTGATGCTAAGCAACCGAATTATGACAAAACCCCAACTTATTTTTCTGGTATCCTTGAATATATTTTAGTGGTATCTAAATCACTAATTTTTTTTGATGAGTATGTACTTTTGAAGTCAGTCTTTTTTACATATAGAAAAAAAGAGAATGAAAATAAGACCTCTTCATGGCAGCTCAACTTGGGAGCTAATTAAAATGAGGCTTTTAAAATGGGAAAAAATTAATTAGCCAAAAAGTTGAGAAGTAGGAATTAGCACCTCCAGAGATCTTTGGGTAGTTAAATGCTTGCAAGGAAAATGTAATTTCTTATTTCCTTGTTTTATTTCATTGTTCATTGCCTGCTTTTCATTTTACCTTTTCGTTCCATCTTACCTAATGCTTTTGTGTTGTGCATCAGTTGCTAAGGCACCATCTTAGGCATTAAACCTCCTGCTGAAGAACAAGATACTCTGCTTCTTCTAACAGCATCTTTAATCTTGATCCCTGGAGATTTTAATGTCTCACCCCTATCATGCTCACAGGCTTATTGACCTTGACAACAGGAGTATCTGGTCCTCTGTGGCACTCTTTTTTTTCTTTTTTTTTTCTTTTTTTTTTTTTTTTTTTGTTTTGTTTTTCATGTTAAGACAAATTTCTGTGATTTTGTGATTTTCTTAGGCTGCACTGTAATACTGTATAACCAATGACTGAACTTTTTAACCATCTAACCAACCTACACAAGAAAAGAAAAGTTTGCTTCTCCAAGCTGTAAATTAGAATGACACAAGATTGTTTTCTAACCCTTTCTGCTCATTTTTTGGAAGGCTCTTTGTCTCACACCAACAGAGTCTCACTGTTAGAAACCACATTATTTTAATGGAAAACTGAAGGATGTTTCTTCCCCGCTGCCTTCTCCCCAGATCTGCCTTGAGTTTCTTTCTCTCCTGTCTTTCCTCAGTTTGTGCATAGTGACCTGGTTCAGTCCTCACAAAGGACAGTGTATAAAGGGGCAGATGCTGAATATGTCACTATAGTAAGTAAGCCAGCCACAACCAGAAAATAGAGGTCAGAATGTCAGGCCCTAGTGGACTTTGGGAAAATCTAGTATGAAGAAAATATAATTTCAGAGGTGGCTTTTTTGAACTTCAAGTCTTTTCTGAACTTCTCCCTGCTAGATCATGCCTTCCTTTTTTCTTTACCGGGGAACAGTGTAAAGTGAACCCATATGCAGTTTGGCCAGTCTAGCCCTTTTCTAGCCTTATGAGGAAAACTATACTCCAGAGTATGTGACTTCTGTTGCCAAGGTTAACTGATTTTTATAAGGTTTGGCATAAGAGGAGAGCTGTCCCTAGCTTCCACAATAGTGAGTGGGTAGGTAGCTGAGGAGGATAGTGTGGCTGGTGTGGGTTTTGGTACAGCAGAGATGGTCTTTAAGAGAGGACTGCAGGTCTTACGAGGAACCTGTGGCAAGACCCAGAGTATGTACTGGGGCAAGGTCTGGGTGTCTCCAGGCTGTGCCTTAGCGTGCCAATACTGAGCAGGGGTCCTACTCCCTCCTCTTATCATTATGTGGGACAAAGTCACTTGGTCATCTTTGAAATTAAGTGCGATTGGCTACCATTTTGTTCCAGAGATGGAGCCACTCAGTTTCTGCTGTTCCCTCAGGTACCACTGATGGAAAGAGAAGATTCAAAAGATCTGTGGAGGCGCCTCAATCTCATCTCTCTTGGTTTCTTGCCTGCTCAGCAGAGATGCTTACTGTGGTGTGGGCTGGGCTGGCCTTGGCTACAGTGTTGTGAGAACAAGAGGGAAGGGCCAAAGGTTTTTTTGCCTGTGCCAGCAAGCTGTAGACATGGCCAGGGCAAGGGTAGCAGGCATGGAATGAGGTCACTTGTTTGGCATTGCCTTTTGTTTAGTGTTCTTTTCTGCACAGTGTGTGTTTCTGGCTCAGATGGTAGCTGGCATGCTGTCTTGAATTGAGTTAGCAACAGAAATGAAGTGGATGAAAAGCTCAAAAAAGCTTGGTGGTGATGGAAAATTAAGCAGGATTATCAATGAAGGTGATGGCAAAAGTTATAGAAAGCTGACTTTATTGTGGGATTGGAGATTAGATGATCAGCCTATATTGATAATTGTTGGAAAAAGTACTCAGAGGAAACAATGAGGGTTGAGCTTTTGGTATGAAAAAAAAACTCATTAAGAGGAAAAAGTCCATAAAGTTACAGGTAGACTATAAGTGCAGAAGTGAATGTGATTATGTACAGTTTCTTATAAAGCAAGAACTAGGAGCTGGAAATGTAGCAGTCAGGCACTGTACTTAAAAACAAATATGTGGCATATAATAAAACTTGAAACTCATTAGTATAGGAGCCAGGGAAGACTAGAAACATAAACTACATTAAAAGAAATATTAGACAAGCTTGTGAAAGTTAAATTAATCAGGAAATATTAACTATTGTTATCCAAATGCAGTGACAGGGTCGGTA